CTTTACCTGGACACCTCCTGCTCCACTTCACTGACGTGCACTTTCCTGCACTAAAATCCCACAATGCTTAGCTCACTAAGGATCTCGGTATGTACCAAACTACTTCATCGCGGAGGATTTCCAGCAACGCTTTCCAGCTCCAGAGCTCCCCCTAGCGGCCACAAAGCAGACAGTCATTGTGGGGAATCCACTAACAACATATGCTATGATTTGTTTGTTTCAGAGGACATTCCGAACTGTGCAATCCTCTGAAATTTGCAAAACCATCCCCAAATCAGAGTGAGCCATATTTCCAAAATGTCCCTAGTCCATCTTGAATAGAACTGTCATAGCCATCATTTCCTGGGGATATATCACTATGAGAGACATTCCTGGGGATATATCACTATAAGAGACATTCCTGGGGATATATCACTATGAGAGACATTCCTGGGGATATATCACTATAAGAGACATTCCTGGGGATATATCACTATGAGAGACATTCCTGGGGTCTATATCACTATAAGAGACATTCCTGGGAATATATCACTATGAGAGACATTCCTGGGGATATATCACTATAAGAGACATTCCTGGGGATATATCACTATGAGAGACATTCCTGGGGATATATCACTATAAGAGACATTCCTGGGGATATATCACTATGAGAGACATTCCTGGGGATATATCACTATGAGAGACATTCCTGGGGATATATCACTATAAGAGACATTCCTGGGGATATATCACTATGAGAGACATTCCTGGGGTCTATATCACTATAAGAGACATTCCTGGGAATATATCACTATGAGAGACATTCCTGGGGATATATCACTATAAGAGACATTCCTGGGGATATATCACTATGAGAGACATTCCTGGGGATATATCACTATAAGAGACATTCCTGGGGATATATCACTACGAGAGACATTCCTGGGGATATATCACTATAAGAGACATTCCTGGGGATATATCACTATAAGAGACATTCCTGGGGTCTATATCACTATGAGAGACACTCCTGGGGATGCATCACTATGAGAGACATTCCTGGGGATATATCACTATAAGAGACATTCCTGGGGATATATCACTACGAGAGACATTCCTGGGGATATATCACTATAAGAGACATTCCTGGGGTCTATGTCACTATAAGAGACATTCCTGGGGATATATCACTATGAGAGACATTCCTGGGGTCTATATCACTATAAGAGACATTCCTGGGGATATATCACTATGAGAGACATTCCTGGGGATATATCACTATAAGAGACATTCCTGGGGATATATCACTATAAGAGCATTCCTGGGGATATATCACTATGAGAGACATTCCCGGGGATATATCACTATAAGAGACATTCCTGGGGATATATCACTATGAGAGACATTCCTGGGGATATATCACTTTGAGAGACATTCCTGGGGATATATCACTATGAGAGACATTCCTGGGGATATATCACTTTGAGAGACATTCCTGGGGATATATCACTATGAGAGACATTCCTGGGGATATATCACTATGAGAGACATTCCTGGGGATATATCACTATAAGAGACATTCCTCGGGTCTATATTACTATAAGAGACATTCCTGGGGATATATCACTATGAGAGACATTCCTGGGGATATATCACCATGAGAGACATTCCTGGGGATATATCACTATGAGAGACATTCCTGGGGATATATCACTATAAGAGACAGCCTGGGCAGTATAGAACCCATTCAAAACACAGGTTGTACACTGAGAGGGGAGGACAACACCCTGCCTGCCCTGCAAGATAGCTCTGGGAGTCATGTCTATCATACAGGGTTATTCACTAAAAGGGACAAATCAAAGTTTATTTAAGTACAAAATATTTGAACTGGAAAATTTCTCTAAGCCAGCTATGCTTTCCATGCAACTACTCAGGCGTTAAAGGGACAATATAGGCACCCAGACCACTTCATCTCATTGAAGTTGTCTAGTTGCAGCAGTGTCCCTGACCCACTTAGTCCTCCAATGTAAAACATTGCAGTTTCAGAGAAACAGTTTACATTGCAGCACTAAGATAGCCTCTAGTGGCTAGAGGTGTTTCCGGGAGTTTACCAGACGTCCTCACGCTCTGCATGAGGAAATCCAGCATCAGTGAAAACCCATAAGAAAATGGAAGCAATGCTTTACTATGGGGAGGGCGTAATGTATTCAAATCAGGGCTGGAATTGCATAAGTGATTAAAAGGTTCCCTTTGCATTCACATTGAATTCACACTTTAGAATATAACTGATGATATGTGACAACTGATAGCCAACTGTTCCCTGGCAGTAATCACAGTCACTGTCAGGCAACTGATGTGATTTCCTGAGTGTGTCTGTATGTATATATAAGTTTGTATGACACTATAGAGCAGGCATGTCAAACTCGCGCCGCACAACAAATATCTTTGCGGCCCGCGGCAACGGAGAGCTAATTTTGAGGGTGAGGGACTTGGATTTAATAGACGGTGACGGGGGACTGGGATTTAGTAGACGGGGGACTGGGATTTAGTAGAAGAGGTAGGGGGACTGGGATTTAGTAGACGGGGGGGCTGGGATTTAGTAGAGGGGGTCGCTGTTTTTTTTTTATACTGTACTTTTCAAAATAAACCTACATTTAAAGTTTTAGTTTTTTTGCGGCCCACATAAACTTAAACCTTGCTAGCCTTTGAGTTTGACATGCTTGCTATAGAGGGACACTATAAGCACCAAAACAACTCTAGCTTAATTATTTTTTGGTGTATAGATCACAGCCCTGCAATCTAAAGGCTAAATTCCCTGCCATTTAGGAATTAAATCGCTTTGTTTATGCCGCCCTAGTCACCATTCATATTTCCTGTAAAGATCGACCTAATGGTTAAATTTCCTTTATTGCAGAGTCTGGTTAGTTTATAGCTTCTTATCCCCTGCTCTGGCCTGCAGAAACCTTCTGTGTGATTAAACGTCAATTAACAGAGCGGATTAAGAAAAGAAAAAAAAGTCTAAAGTAAACACACTGTGCTTTCACAACCTCCCTATTGCAGGTTTATATCAGTGCTTTGTTGTGGTAGCTCACGCAATGCATTGATACATTAGAAGTATTAGGGAGGCCTGGCCGGTGAGGGAGATCATGTAGGAGCGCTCTACTCCAGCACCAGCCGAGTAGATGTCCTGCCAGTTTCGTTACCACAGCAAAATTGGCTGGCCAGTGTGAGAGATCTTCGATCTCCACACTGGCTGTACAGCCCCTTTCCTGGATAACAGCCAGTGCAGGATCTCAAATCATTTGGTTTAATAGTTATTTCCCAGCAGCAATGATTAAATGCCACACACTTCATTGCTGCTGTTTTCACAAGTGTCTGAAAAAAATGGAGATGTGACAAGTGCATTACCACTTCTCTGTTTATCTGTAAGGAGAAATTTTAAGGGAATTCAAAGTGAATTCTTAAAGGGACACTATAGTCACCAGAACAACTACAGCTTATTGAATTTGTTCTGGAGAGTAGAATCATTACTTTCAGGCTTTTTGCTGTAAACACTGTCTTTTCAGAGAAAATGCAGTGTTTACATTACAGCCTAGTGATAACTTCACTCAGATGGCTGTTAGAGATCCTTCCTGGGTCATGGCTGCCTAAAATGCATCCAAACATTCAGTATCTCCTCCCTCTGCATGCAGACACTGAACTTTCCTCATAGAGATTAATTGATTCAATTCATCTCTATGAGGAGATGCTGATTGGCCAGGGCTGTGTTTAAATCATGCTGGCTCTGCCCCTGATCTGCCTCTTTGTCAGTCTCAGCCTATGGGGAAGCATTATGATTGGATTAGGCCACCACTTCTGATGATGTCAGCAGGCAGTGGGCAGGTCTAAAGGAAACAGGGACAAACTATGCAACTGCAGGCTTGTATTCAAGTAAGATTTTACTATATTTTTAGAGGCATGAGGGTGGCCAGATGGTGGCTTTAACCCTATAGGGTCAGGAATACATGTTTGTGTTCCTGACCCTATAGTGCTCCTTTAATTATAAGCCAAAATAGCCAAATTGAAATCAGCTAAATCGGAGAACTATTACAGTTCATCAATTTGTTTCTATAATCATCTGAATGTCTGCAGCGTGGTTGTGGTTAATGAACCATATTATTTGTATAATACAAGTCAGCAAAGGAAAAGAGCCAGGATCATTAACTGAATGTAACCAGTGTAAGTGTTTACTGTTGTTTGCCTTGCTCACTGTAGGAGTATTCTTCCGACAGCCAAGTTTGGCATTGGTTTTGGTAGTACATGGTTTTAAATTTTGATTTATTGGTTCAAGTCAAAACCTTTTTGCATGGCTTGACTTCCTATCCGGAGCCCACCATGCACTGCTGCCTGCCTCAATTAATGCCAGAGAACCAAAAGTACGAGCTCCTGTTAGTTTTTAGGAACTTCCGGCCCTCCAGCATTAGTAGTGGAGGTAGGAGTAGATGTTGTCAGACCCCAAGTAATAAGTCAAACCATTCAAAAATGTTTTGATTACTTACAATATGTGGTTGTCAGGGTCTTCCTGGCATCATAGCCATGAAACCACAAAATATGAAACAATGTAAGTACTACCTAGTATGTTCAAATGAAGAAAAGGCAGCTACCAGGGAGTTTGGGGCTGCAACCATATTATTGGATTTGGGGAAATTAGTTAAGGGTTGGACCTATTTTTTTTCAGTCTTTTATAGGTTTTACCTTCTGTCAGTTTAGGGACTATTCTTGAGGCAGCTGTACAACTAGAAAAATAGACTTTAAATGCATTTCATTTATGGTGTCAATGCAAATAATTGTGTTTTGTCTTCTTAACTTCACTGCAATCCTCACCCCAGTAAACATGTTAATAGTGTTTTTACTGGGGTAATGTAATTGGGAAGAATCATCCCTGTCACGGTGTCTCTTTAAACGTTTTCTGTAATAAAATCTTACACATAAAAACAAAACCTAAGTTGTAACCAAAGAACCTGTATTGTGTAGTATGCCAGCGTTATTTATTTTTATTAAAATGAGTCTACAAAAATGAAAATACATGACATTTGTAGATACAAAAACAGCTACAAATTAATTTACAAATATTAGTAAAAGAATCACATTGACAGAAATAAATACATATACATACACACACACACACACAACTGAAACAATTGAAAAAAGATTAATAATTCTTAAATACTTTAAAATGGCAAATGACAGCAACATTTTAGAGGTTTTACAGCTCTGAACATAGCAGTGTTGAAATTTCATTCAATGCCTTGTACATATAATTGTAGATAATTAGGAGAAGGTGCTAACATTTAAATAAAGAGCATTTGGAATGGAAAATGCATTTGTTTCTCGAATTCTCATCTGAACACTTTCCAATTGATTTCCTTTTTTTGATAGAAAAGTTGGTTCATGCTATAAACTTTAAGTGCTATACAAAACTATGTACATTCCTGTACTGGACACATACTTGTATGATGAGGTGATATACTGAGGACTGAAAATCTTTCTGTCCCAAGTATTATTGAAAGAGGATGCAGTACCAAAAGAAAAAAAACAACAACACTGGCTGAATCAACACAGCTTCAGAAAAACTGAACTATTCAGTTTCCCAACTAGCTAACCTACCTGACATAGATTAAATGAATAAAGATTTAATATTCTAAAAGGCCATTTGGTAGTACAGTCTATGTTATCTTAATGGAGGAATGTGTTTGATGCCGGTCAGATGTTGTTGGAATGCCTTCGTGGGCAGCACCCATTCTAGTTGATTCTATCCAGAGATACAACTCTTTTTTTACTTGTAGGAATATTTCTATCTGATAAGCATTGGCTAATATCTGTAGAGGGTCCATGTGACTGTATGCTTAAAAGGAAATCTCCATTGAATATTTATTTTTAACAATTTAGTAGATACGTGTATTTTTCTGTGTATGATAAAACAGCTTGCAAAAGCTGCAGACCTGATTAAGCAAGTCCTGCCTGCTTTTTACAGACACAGCTTTTTAGTTTATGCAGAGGTACACACTAATCAAAGTTTTCACATTGAGAAGTCTCTGGCCTAGAGTCACAAATACATGTGATCGCAACTTCCCTGTGCTACCCAATTAGCTGTAATACAGCTCATCATAAAGGTGGAAAGGCAGGAGTGTGCTAGCCTAGCACACCTAGCCTAGCCTAGCACACCTGCTGCTTCTGTTAGCTCTGTGAAGCTAATAGGAGCAGAATAAAACCTCCCTGGCAGTCTGATTGACAGCAATTAAAATGCTTTTACCAATAGTGCGGACTTCTATTAAAACTGGTACTTTTAAAAAACTGTCACAAGTATGATAGACTCCAGACACATAACAAATTTCAACAAGATGAATTAGATTAAATTAAATGTGTATTATTATTATTATTTGAGAAATTGACTTTTCGTACACAAATATGCATGGTGCTCATTTACATAAATCATTTACTTTAATAAGCACACATAATAAATGGTTTAATGATGTGACAAACAACTTTAAAATTTGTGTAAAAAAAAATAAATGTTTCTTGCTACTGTATAGCAACAAGATTATGGAACAGATTATGATGAAAAGGGAATGCTTAAAATATAACAAAGAATTCAGCAAATATAGCAGGAATATTATAGGCTAAAAATGCCTAAACTCAGGAATAAGAACAGGGGTAACCTCTTAATTCACATTGCATAGCTGGTCATGTTATTTATTGTTGTCAGTATCTGGCTATGCGTATCAGTCTACAACAGAACACATTCAGAATAATAGAGGATATCCATTAAACACATTTTAAAAAGGTAGACAGTATTAAAATGAAATTCTTTCACTGAAAAAGCTAATGCAAATATTTCACTTCAGGAGTTTCTCCGCAAACAAAGTTTAGTGTCCTTGCCATACTAATTCAGACATTAAAACGTCAATTGGTGTTTATTTCATAGAAATCTTGACGAATGTTTATCAGGCATTTTTCTAGTCTTTTCTACTGTGTTTTGTTTTGGGGGGATTTATGGATATATAAAAAAAGGACACTTGTGTCTCAAGAAAGGTTTGATACAAGCAATGCTCAAATCCAAATTGTTTGTGAAGTGATTTATAAACACAAAATGTACTTTTCCTTTTTCTTAAATCATGTATGCCGCAATCATCAACATCCAAACTCAATTATTGACAATTGTTGGATGTAACGGTTTGACTCTTGCAAATCTTGATAGGCCAAGTCGCAGTCCTTGGTTAGGTGATCGGACACTTACTCCTTCCAGTGAGTTTTTAACACCGTTTCCCTGAACTGAAGCTGCTAAATAAAAAATAAAATAAAAAAAAGAATTCATATAATGTAGAATAATGCAGTCAATGACTAGAAGAGGGCTGAAGAAGTATAAGCAGCTGCAAAAATAATATAAACACATAACTCTAATCAGAGGCAAACAGTGAATCTTAATAGACTGTAGCATTTTATTATTAGTAGTTTTGTAAAATCCATATAACCAGCTACCACACTCACAGCCACTGTATACAGCATTCTGTAAAAAAGCTGATTTTTAGTCAATATTATCAAGCAAAATCACATTATCAATGATCTTTTAAGAGATCTTGATACATTTGAAGCACTTTGTAAGTAAACAGTATGTAATTTCTTAAAAGCAACGTATTCTTTTGCACACAAAACAGAAACATGTGCAACCAATACCCATTCTCTATGATTATTGCAGATTATAATCATCATCATTACCCCGTAAACTGATTCCAAGTGAGAAGCCAGAGGTAAAAAGCTGAATGAGTATCATGGGAATTGTACTATGCATACGGACAGTACAAACATGGCAGATCTCAGCATTTTGAAGACAAGTAGTGATTTTACCTGGAGGTGTCCATTTTTGTTTCTTAACCCCGACCGGAGGAGAGCTGTGATGTTGTGTCGGTTTCACAGGAGTAGGTGAGGAGAACGCAGTTCTCTGCGCTGGCAGTGACTTTATTTTAACGGACACAGGAGGTGAAGTTGAACTAACTATAAAGTGGAAATATATATTGAAGCCATGTTACTGCTACTTATATATATATAAAAAAAAAAAGTGGATATTTATATTTCATACCAAAACATTCTTCTTACCAGCAGCTCTTGGCTTGGGGACAAGCTTCCTGTCTTTTGGACTTTTCTTTGCACACTTTTGTTTAGTCTCTTTGTTTGCTTTTAACTTACTAGACATCTTAATGTCAAACTCTTCATCCTCCTCGCTGAGGTTTGAGTCACTCTCTGAACTACTATCTGAAAAGCAGAATAACAGACAAAATAAAAGTGATTAGTAAATCAGAGCACCAGAAAATACACCAATTGCCATTAAGACTGTGCACACATCTTAACCCCTTGAGGGGTAATGAAAGGTCAGAAATTTTATAATAAAATTAGGTTTGTCCCAATCCTGAAGAATTAAGAAGAATACAAATCCCAATATATACCATTGGTGAAAGAATGTTATAGAAAAAACACTAATAACAATAACTAACTGCCAGACTTGCTGAATATGTGTGGAAGGTAAGAAAAATTGAGCAAGAAGATGAACTATTGATCCTTAGCATGGTCAGGATTAACAATGTAAAATTCAAAAAAGCAGATACAAGAAATGGTTGTCTCAAAACAGGGAGGAAAAAGTACCAGACAGACTTGAGCAGGTCACCAGCAATCTCTCAGAATGCCATATAGCATGAGTGATGGTAGTTACATAATTATCTCACAGAAGTCAAATCATATTTAATATTGTAAAATATGCATATTGTTGTATTCATGCGTGCTACAGACTCTGTAAAATGAATTGGCATTGTAGAAAGTGCTGCGTCAATTTAGCAAAACATGCTATAGTCCAGTGTTCACAGCCTAATATTAAATAGCAATGCATGCATCCGTTATGTAAAATGTTCTAAGGATAATAGGGAAATGATAATTCCTCATTAAGATATCAGAGGTATAAGGGATGGGCTCTTTGTTCCCTGTTTTTGTCAAACTGTTTGAAAATATTAGCCATAGTGATTATGGTCCTTAGATTATCCCTTTAGTTGCCTTTGACCTGTCATATAAGAAAGAAGTGATGCAGTGAACAGTGCTAAAAATCAAATCAAACTTACAAGTGGCTAAGTCAGGCTTAAACTCATCCCCGGCATCCTCATTATCACTATCATCTGCCAGGAGCTTCCTCTGTTCAGCAATGGCCTTGGATGCAGCCTGCCTGCGGCTTCTACCATCAGCCTGATCTTCATTACTACATGTGACCTCATCTAGACCTGTGGGGAGAAAACATCAGTATGTGAATTTACTGTATTGATCACTAGTGGCCAACCTTGGCACATGTCAACATTAGTGCTTACTTGCATAAGTATTTCTTCTGGTAAAATATGTATGTTCAGTCACTGTATCTGTAAGGTTCATATAAAAAAAAAACATCCTTCAAGTAGCCAGACAGAGGGTGTACCCTAATAAAATGAGATTGATCACAGCTTTATGGCAGTGAGTACCTGAACACTTAAGTCTATGGCTTGAATTTTGTGACCTGTGTTTACTATAACTAGAATCTAGGTGCACATTTACAAAGAGAGGCAGTTAAAAAGGTTTTAAGTCTCTGTACTAAGTTAGCAATTTCTGATAAAGGTTTGTGAAGACTCGAATACCAACATGTAACTTGGCTAATATATTATACTTGTGACATGAACAATGGGTCACCTTCCACGTACCATTGGGTGCCAAGAAAAAGAGAACAATGGAGAGTTAATACCCATTTAAGGCTGACAAAACAAAAAAAAAATTATGGAAATTATGAAAAATGCTCTTTACAAATTCTTTCATTTTATGCATAACTTTCATTTTATGCTAATTAAAGTTATAGCAGATTACACACTAAAAATTGTATATTGTTTTAAAAAGCTCAAAATTCCTGCTTATATAATCAACTGTCTCTTACTATAATAAGACATACTCAATAAGCAATATTGCTTTAGAGCAAAGGTTGAAGTTTATGTAATGAGTTAATTTTCTGACTGTGCAAATGAAATGGTTCCAGCATGTAGGAAGGAAAATACATATTACCTAAAGTACTGCTGTCTACACTGCAGTTTGAAAAAGACACATCAGCACTCCTGGTACTGCCATCAGGAAGTGTTGGATACCCTGAAAGATATGAACAAATAGTACATATTAATTTAAAAAAGATTCATAAACATACAAAATGCACAATCACATTAAAAAGCTATAGCAGCTACATTTCTAAAACAAAATGCTTAAATTAACCTAAGCACTATAATAACTTTATTTCATTGAAGTGGCTATAGTGTCTGGAGTCCCTTAGTGCCATTCACCAGTTCAGTGTTAAACCACTCTTAGACTTACTCACTTAATAAGGGTCCAGTGGATCTGACCCTCCACTGGTGGTATGGCAAAATAGCTCTGTCTTAGCCATGCCAACTCATTCCAGCGATGAGCAGCAGTGATAGCCTGAGATTGCTCAGGTGACGCTCTATGCTTATCACTGCCACCCATCACTGTTCTTCCTAATGCAGAAACATCAACCTGAGATGAGAAGATGGGCCGGATTGCAGATACTCTCATTCAGTGGTAAACTGTTCAAAAACAGTACAAATTCACAAAAAATTACTGTTAACTACCCATCACACAAAAAAGAATAATATAGAAAATACTGTGTCTTCAAGCAGTAACTTATTCATTTACAAGACAAAATAAATAAAATGCAGTAATACAGTAATCCTCATGAGAAATGTTCAACCATAAAGCAAGTGAGCAAGATGCTGATGAGCCATGAAAGGGTGAAGCAATCTAAAAGAACACAACATGATATGGAAACAGTCCTTCAACTATGCTATATGTGGGATGGGTGTTTTACCACAAGTTAGTGTCAATATTTTTTTCAAAACAGTACATTTCAGACTTTTCAACAGAAAAATGGAGGCTATAGATTAGCTGAAATATGCCAGTTCCTAGTTTGAGTGATAATCATAGTAACTCATTACCTTCAATTGTTAAACTGTTTTCGAATGATTCAACACGGACGTAGAGACCCCTCTGGACTCCTTTAGAAACATTTGCTTAAGTAGCACAAATAAGCAAGTACTTATTTAAAATATATTTAAACTTGTACAAACAAACACTGGATTGCACTATACTGAAAACCAACCAAAATTAGCAATTCACCATTGAATCCACTATAATTCAGTGTTGAGCAGAAAAACACCAGTTATTTCACTCAAAAATGTCACTGAATATTAAAGGCACACCTAAATGTATAAAGTAACATGTGCATATTACCTTTGCTGAATTGATCATCAGAAGTTTCCACCAAGGATTTTTCTTGTACAGAAAGTGCCAATGCAACTTCTAAATCTCTATGGTAAAGCTTATCATCTAAAGGTAGTCTAATGCAAAAAAAGATGCAAATTAATCACAGAAAAAGATAGAGCAACTTAATCACAATTTTAAGGCCATTGAAAGATTAGTGAAGAATGTGTGCATACATTAACAATCAATCACCAACATAAGTTATCATCAAAACTATATTACTTAAGTATCAGAATAGTGAAGAGAAAACAGATGACAGGTGCCCTATAAGTATATATCTACATGCTTGTTTGTCCTGACCCTTTGTTTGTCTCCCTGCATATCGGACCTTTCTTCATGGTGTATGCATGAAAGCACTCTTCAGAGGAAAAGTTCACGTCATAAACCAGTTTCCAAAAGAGGAGATGCAACACGTTTGATTACCTGCACAACTTTTGGTCAGATAAGCTGTGCTTCCATCCAAAGTAGGGATGCACCGAATTAAAATTCTGGCCCAAAACGAAACCGAAAATTCAGGATGTCATTTCTGGTTTCGAAAACCGAAACCAGAAATGACTCTCCCCCCTCGCCCCCCAAATGATTTAAAAAAATTTTTTTCCTATAATTTTATTAATATTAGACGTTTTAATGAATTTAATTAATCTAATTTGAAAAACTTCCCTTCTCTTTTGGTGGTCCCCCTCCCCCCCATAATGTTCCTCTCCCCTCCCCTGTCCCATAGTGTCCCCCATCCACTGTCCCATAGTGTTATTTTCTCCCCCCTCCCCTGTTCCATAATGTTCTTTCCCCCCTCCCCTGTCCCATAGTGTTCTTTCCCCCCTCCCCTGTCCCAGTGTTCTTTTCTCCCCCATCCCATAGTGTTCTTTTCTCCCCCTCCTGTCCCATAGTGTTCTTTTCTCCCCCCTCCTGTCCCATAGTGTCCTTTCCCCCAACCCGTCCCAGTGTTCTTTCCCACCATCCCCAGTCCCAGTGTTCTTCCCTCCCATCCCCAGTCCCAGTGTTCTTCCCTCCCATCCCCAGTCCCAGTGTTCTTCCCTCCCATCCCCAGTCCCAGTGTTCTTCCCTCCCATCCCCTTCCCATAGTATTCTTCCCCCCTTCCTTGTCCAATAGTGTTCTTCCCTCCTTCCCTGTCCCAGTGTTCTCCCCTTCCTGTCCCATAGTGTTCTTTCCCCTTCCCTGTCCCATAGTGTTCTTTCCCCCTCCCTGTCCTATGGTCCATGTGTTCTTTCTCCCTGTCCCATAGTGTTCTTTCCTCCCTGTCCCATAGTGTTCTCTTTTTCTCCTCCCATAGTGTTCTTTTCTCCCCTCCTGTCCCATAGTGTTCCTCCCTCCTGTCCCATAGTGTCCTTTCCCCAACCCGCCCCCAGTGTTCTTTCCCACCATCCCCAGTCCCAGTGTTCTTCCCTCCCATCCCCAGTCCCAGTGTTCTTCCCTCCCATCCCCAGTCCCAGTGTTCTTCCCTCCCATCCCCAGTCCCAGTGTTCTTCCCTCCCATCCCCAGTCCCAGTGTTCTTCCCTCCCATCCCCTTCCCATAGTATTCTTCCCCCCTTCCCTGTCCCATAGTGTTCTTTCCCCCCCTTCCTTGTCCAATAGTGTTCTTCCCTCCTTCCCTGTCCCAGTGTTCTCCCCTTCCCTGTCCCATAGTGTTCCCCTTCCCTGTCCCCCCCTTCCTGTCCATAGTGTTCTTTCCCCTTCCTGTCCCATAGTGTTCTTCCCTTCCCTGTCCCATAGTGTTCTTCCCCCTTTTCCTGTCCTATAGTGTTCTTCCCCGCCCCATAGGTTTCTTTCCCCCCCCTGTCCTATAGTGTTCTCCCCCCCCCAAGTGCAGTATTCTTGACTTTTCATGTAATCATTACTATCTTTCACTGTGATCTATAATCATCTGAATTGTTAATGCAAGCATGTCTGTTTAAACTAGGCACTTTAAAAAAAAAAAAAAAAATACTATCGACTGGGTACCTCCGTTGAAGGATGCTCCTAGCGCTTCCTGAGGGCTTCAAGCACTCCAGTCGACACCATAACTACCGTAGACTCCTTCAGAGAGCAAGACAGGAACAAGCTCTTACAAGAGCTTAGTAGTGATTTAGCATGAGAGTATGACTAGCATAGCAATCCCTTGTAGCAGATTCCCCCAATAAGAGACGGCACTCCAAATTGAGGGTGAAGTAGAACTGAAGCTTTAATCCAACACTCTGCTTTTATGCACATTCTACAAACATAGTACCGCCCACAGGATTTTACAGAACAACCAATCAATACGTACAATACACTCAGACACTCCCAGTAATTACACACAAAATTCTCTCCTCTGTCTGTGATATAATTACTGAAAACAATGGGTTAATGTAATTATCACAGGCAGAGAAATACAGTTTTTACACAGTTACTGTAACTTTAAAAATATACATTCATGAAAACAACATGTTAATACACAGCACACTTTAATTACACACATATCCAAAATTCAGGTGATTCCTTCCAGGGGTTACAAAGTTAGCAGGAAGTCCCTTGTGACCGACCGCAAGCACATTTTCATGCCCAAAACAGTTCCATAGATTTGGGCTGTGCGGTCGGTCAATTTCACACTGAAGAAATAACTAAGTCCCATTCGAACACGTGTTCGAATCGCCAAACGGGACTTAGTCTCTGCAGCTGAAAAATCAGTGTAGGAGAAGGTAAGGGACAGCAGTGTTCGTGGAACTGTGTAGCCGATTTCAGTTCCATGAATTTGGCTACACACACCGCTGACCGCGTTCGGTTGAAAAAAGATGGCCGCCAACACGTGTTCGTTTGCACGAATGGCGGCCCCCCTGCGTTCGACAATTTACCTACAGCAGGCTTTCAGTCTGGTAGGTAAATTGCCTGCACGCTTCCTCTTCTGGGTGGTCCACCTGTGTAATACTTGGACAGTAAGCCCCATTTACTGAACCAAGTGGGAGAAAGCCAGGAACACAGTATATTAAAGGTTTGGGGACACCGTCTTAAAGGGGCATTGTCCCAAAAAGTCTCAATATTCCCCACATACAGTTCTTAAAGGGCCATACACAGTCCAATAGAAGTCCATACGCTGTGCTTAAAGGGCTAGTAGCAGCACAATAAAAAAAAAAAAATCCATTATGCCCAAATGATGTCTTTAACCCCTTAAAAACACATGACATGTGTGACATGTCATGATTCCCTTTTATTCCAGAAGTTTGGTCCTTAAGGGGTTAAAGGGCAATACCCCCAGGGGCCATAGTCACATGGCAGGAGGCGGGCAAGCAGGCCCCTCCAAAAACTCCCTTAAAGTACTTACATACAGTATGGCTATAATACATGTGATCTTTTATTTTCAATAAATAATTACGTCAGTTTTTCCTTCAAGGTTACATAATTGGGCAAATTCCTGTAAAGTGTAAATATGAAAGAATGTAAAGCTGAGAGAATACAGTGGGGTATGAGGTGGGGGAATCAGCCATTGGTGAGCAAATGTAGAATCAATATTAGGAAGGAATAGCAAGGTAATGTTCATAGGAGAACAGCATTCTACATCCTTCAAATAATTACAAAATAATAAAGAATTTGAAAATGATTCACCTTTTTCCTTGTGAGTTTGGCTGTGATGTCGTGCTTTCTTTTTGAGGCTTTTTTGCAGACTTCTCCTTCTTGTCCTTCCTTACTTCCACCCGTGATTTTTTATTTGGTGGTGCAGAGGAGCAGGCAAAATCTTCGTCTAGAAAATATGAAAAGATGACATAGGAGGTAAGCATCTGCAATTTTGTACACATTTCATGATAGAGAAATAGACTATTGTGAGTGCATCTAAAAAAAATAAATAAAAAAAAAACACAAGATGGTTAAAGGGGATATATATATATATATATATATATATATATCTCGCCACAGTTACACCAGAAAACATTCCAGATCTTTCATAAATCCAGGTTCTTTATTCACATTTACAGGAGATTATGGAAATGTGCACTTTAAGCCAAAAGAGACTACACTTTACCATAAAAGGTGAATAAAACATCATTTAAGCCCAAATCTAAAATTCCCGGCAATTTTTCAGGATTTACAATTTAGTGAACAACCCCAATGCAATGCCCACCAACAATCTTATGCAGTTATAGAGTAAATTTTTCGTCATATTTGCTAACCTGACTAAGGTGAATTTTTTTTTACTATATAGGATTCATACATAGGTTAAATGCGTATTAGAAAGGAAAGACCCCTTAATGCCATGCATTGTAATGATTAGGTAAAAATGGAACAGGCAAATTCACATTGCTTCATACCACTACAATACGTAGTATGATAGGCACATTTTTCACAAGAAGCGATCATAGAATACAGACATTCCGGCAATGTTTAATATAGAATCCAGTGGCAGAAATAATCTAATGGCTCGTCTGCTCAGCTTATCCTTCATCTAAAACAACTCAGTTTATTTTGCAACAGATTTCATACTAATGTTAACCTTTTGAATGTATCCCTTTAAGCAGGCAGGAAAAAAAATTTTATTACTCGCAATGGGCAGCGAATGACAAAATGTCAGCTGCCACTCTCTGCCTACCAAGGCAAAACCTTACTGATTACTGCAGTGGTCAGAAGAGCACAATCATACTCCTCTCTTTACATATCAGCCAGAGTATACTATGCAAAGCAGATATTGTCTTGATTCTAGATTAATGTATTATTTCCATTTTGGGACATGTTTACCACTGATTGTATTACAGTACTGATGATTGTTTCCTGCATCGCCTCTCTTCCTTTTATTTAAAAAAAAATAATAAAGATTTAAAGGCAGAATAATAGTTTTTACTCACCATCATTATCCACATCTCCAAACAGGGAATAATCAACAGTTTTTTTTACCCTGAAGGAAAAAAGAAGACAGATACATTTTTACACATTTTGATATTTTTCATATGAATCCCTAAATTATTTAGAGCCTAGCTTTCCATATAATCTCAAGTGTCAAATTCCATAACAAGAAACATTATACTATGCATAAAAGTGTGAGGGGAACAGAAGAGAAAGGATATTGGTACAGGATCCTATGGAGTGGAATACCCTACTAGTTGTGGGAAACAGTAAGGGTACAGCAAAGAACTTAACATGCAACCTTATTAAAACTTTACTTTTAATGATAATTTTCTAATATGTAAAAACTGGTGAGGGTCAACACTCAAAAACACTAGTGTGGAAAACAAAAAATAAATCAAATAGAATAAAATCAACACTTGATCTGAGACTTGCATAAAGTACCCCACATACATGAGGGGAATATTGTCTAAACTGTGCATGGTAGCTGTAGTTGTAAGACAATAAGTCGGGTACAGAGTGTCCAGTAGTATCTGGGAGTCCCAGCCAGGTATTTACCAACATTGGTCTGGGATATGTTGCAATTTGATACCAAAATTTGTAGAAGGGATTATTATCTAAACTGTGCATGGATGCCAAGTTAAAGACAAAAAGTCGGATAAAGAGAGCCCACTTGTATCTGGGGGCCGCAGTAAGGTGTTTCCAGCACTTGTCTGGGATTAGCAGTAAATTGAAACAAAATTAATAGTGGGGGATTATTGTCTAAACTGTGCATGATAGCTGTAGCTAATGACAATGAGTGCCCACTAATTAGTAGAAAATGAAAGAAGTCTCAGAAGTCATCACCCAGTGTATCTGGGAGTCGCAGCAAAGTGTGTCCAACACTTGTCTGGGATTAGCGGCAAATTGAAATAAAATGCATGGTGAGGATTATTGTCTAAACTGTGTGTGATAGCTCGTAGTTGAAGACAATGCCTACTAATTAATAAAACAAGAATGAAGTCTCAGTTAAATGAGCTAGAGTCAATGAGGGATCCCTATCTAGAATCCTTATCTTATAAGGAATCTCTGCAAGGAGAGGGAGAGAGGTGGTTTCTATTATTCCTTCCTGGTAAAATATTTTATAAATAAATAAATATTATGGCTTAACCCCTTCCCGACCGTGGACGGAAATTTTCCGTCAACCTTGTCCTTCAGTTAAGGACCGTTGACGGAAAATTTCCGTCATTTTCTTAAGTTAACCCCAGATCGCCGCGATCGCGGGGTTAACGGTGCTCCGGTCTGCCTCTGCATTAGAGGCAGACCGGGAGCACCCGATCGGGCTTCCCCAGCACCGGTGCTCGCTCTGACAGCATGTCAGAGCGAGCACATGTGCTCCACATACTCACCTTCTGCCTCCCTGCACTTCCGGGTTCTGTGTGAAGTGCAGGGAGACGGATCAGTGCTGATCTGCTTCCCTGTGTAAAAAAAAAAAAAATTAAAGTTAAATCCCACCCCCCCTGCCCCTGTTTTAATAAAATTAACCCCTTCCCTGCCAATTGATCACTGACTACAGTGATCAATTGGCAGGGTATACATTTTAATGTCATCTGATTTTTTTTTTTTTAACCCCTGAGGGTTAATTATTTTTTTTTTAACCCTCAGGGGTTAAATTTATTTTATTAATTAATTTAAATATTAAAAAATTATATATTTAGCTAGCTGGGATGGGTGGAAGTTAGTGGGGAATTGGGGAATTTGGTGTTAGGCTAACTAGGGGTTAACGTTAAAAAAAGTTTTAAAATAAGCTTTAAAAAGGTAAAAAAAAATTTTTTAAATGTTTTAGTAACGTTTAAGTAAAAAAAAAAAAAATACCACCCCCTTTACCCAGTCTAAATAAAAATTAACCCCTTCCCTGCCAGCTGATCACTGCCTACAGTGATCAAAATACAGATCACAGTATTATACTGTGATCTAATTTTTTTAACCCCTGAGGATTAACTTTTATTTATTTTTTTTAACCCTCAGGGGTTCCATTTATTTAATTAATTAATTTAAATATTTTATAATTAAATATTTTGCTAGCTGGGGTGGGTGGGAGTTATGGGAAAATGGGGAATTTACGGTTAGTGCTGCTTACTGCTAGTTAGGGGTTAACGGTAAAAGAAAAGTTTAGAAAAAAAATTAAAAGTGTAAAAAAAGTTAAGATAGTGTAAAACATTTAATAAGTAAAAAAAAAAGTTTAAAAATGGGTTTTACAAAGTAAAAAAAGTTTTACAAAGTAAAAAAATACATTTAAAAATGCTCATTACCACTACACTTGGTACAAGCTAGCGGAAATATTATCCCACGCTAAGGTTCAAAATATGCCTTTTGAATTACCCTGGGATGTCTTCTTTAAGAAATGATATGCCTTTATGGTGTAATTGGATGATATAGCCTTTTAAAATACTCTAAAATGGGACATGGACACAGCGTAAAAATTCAAAGTTTAAAAAAAATGGAATGGCTGTGTCTCAAATGTGCCCCTTCAATGTCCACATAAACCTGGCAAAGGTACATACGGGGGTATTGATGTACTCAGCCGACATAGCTGAGCAACATATGAAGTAGTATACAGTCGTAGTACACATAAGGTTTGCAAAATATACTGCGCAAACTCACTTTGTGTGTCAAAAAGGCAGAAAAAATGCTTATTACCACTACACTTGGTACAAGCTAGCGGAAAAATTATCCCACGCTAAGGTTCAAAATATGCCTTTTGAATTACCCCGGGATGTCTTCTTTAAGAAATGGTATGGCTTTATGGGGTATTTGGATTATATAGCCTGGTAAAATACTCTAAAATGGGACATGGGAACAGTGTAAAAATTTAAAGTTTGAAATGAACTGGAATGGCTGTGTCCCAAATGTGCCCCTCCGATGTCCACATATACCTGGCAAAGGTACATACGGGGGTATTGATGTACTCAGCCGACATAGCTGAGCAACATATGAAGTATTATACAGTCGTAGCACACATAAGATTTGCAAAATGTACTGCGCAAATTTACTTTGTGTGTCAAAAAGGCAAAAAAACGCTTATTACCATTACACTTGGTACAAGCTAGCGGAAAAATTATCCCACGCTAAGGTTCAAAATATGCCTTTTGAAATACCCTGGGATGTGTTCTTTAAGAAATGGTATGCCTTTATGGTGTAGTTGTAATATGTAGCCTGCTCAAGTGCTCCAAAGTGGGCACGGACGCATCAAAACCCTCCATGAAAATTCACACTTAAAAACCTTAACTTGTTACGTCTCTTTTATAGCAGTGTAACTTCACAAAATAGTGTCTAGGTCATACATTGGGCATATTGTTTTACTCAGAAGACTTAGCTGAGCATAATTTGGGGGTTTGAACTTAGTGGCACATATGAAATGTACAAAATGCCCAGCAAAAATGTAATCCGTATGTAAAAAATGCCCAAAATTATTTTTTACCACATACTTTGGCATATATTGGTGAAAAAATGGGGGCATGTTAAGGCACAATATGCACCATATGAGATACCCTGGAGTGTCTACTTTTATAAATGGTAGGCCTTTGTGGGTTTTTTTTGAACAGTCAAACTGCTATAGTACCCCAAATTGAAGCATAGGCCCATTAAATCCGCCTCTCAAAATTCTACTGTAAATGTTGAAACGGACAGGTCTCCTATATGGCACTGTAGCTTCACGAAATAGTGCCAAAGACATACAATGGGGGTATCGTTGTACTCAGCAGAAGTAACTGAACACAAAATAAAACTTTGTACAGGAATAGCACACACCAACTTTACAAAATATACATGGGAAGTTCTTTGTTATAAGTTTGTGTGCCAAAAACTCCAAAAAACTAAATTTTACTCCAATATTTAGCAGAGATTGGCGGTGAAATGGCTACTTAGAAAGTGTCAAAAAAACCTTAGGACAATAGCCTGTGATGTCTACTTTATATAAATATATACTTTTGTGTGGCAATTTTGTTTTCTTTTATGGCTATTAAGCTTACAAGACAAACATACAAAATTCTAAAATCGCTCTACATTAAAAGTTTATTTTACTCCTTGTGCTTTATGACCTGTAACTACCAAAAAAAACTTTAAATCCCAGACACATTATATATTTTGTAAATCAGAACAACTAAATAAATTTATTTTTAATTACTTTCTTTAACCTGCACTAATTAGGCACACATTATTATTGCAAAAACTGTACAAAAAAACACAAAATTTTTCTTTTTTTTGCATTTTTCTGTATTTGTTAAATAATAAATAAGCATTTATATATATATATGTTACATCAAATTAAAGCCCTTTATGTCCTTTAAAAAACAGTATATAATATGTGTCGGTGCAATAAACGAGAGAGATGCAAATTGCAGTTGAACGCATACAGCAAGAAAATGCAAAAATTGCTTGTGTCATTAAGCGTAAGACAAGCTTCTGAAGCTGTGTCCTTAAGGGGTTAATAGGCGATGATATGGTAAAAATAGTGACCCATAATGCTGTATGAAGCTGAAGAAATACCTTGGATCTCTGCAGGGGAAGGGAAAAACCCTAAGGTGCCCTATTAATCTGTGCCTTCGAGGGCACCACTTAAAAGAAATGCCTAATATTCCCACTGCAATAGGATGAAACCTCCCTCCAACATCCTGAGAAGTCTAGCTAGACTAGAGACCCTAACTCACTAGTTAAACGGCTCATGATAAGTAGTTGTTAGTAGAAAGACTGCTGGTATCCATGTTTAAAAGAGAATGAAGCAAAAATGTGATTCTTTGTTTAACTAATTTGCATATGCCCACCCAGAATCCTTTGCGGTAGTAACATCACTGCAAATTTGTGATTTCTGTGGGAAAAGCAAGTCTTATAGCTTGACTGATGTGCATATTTTTGTTTAACATTGTATTAACTACCCACAGACTTCAAGTGGAAGGGGTTTTCAATCACAATTTCCCCCACTATACCTTTTTTGTTTTTTGAGAGAGACATATAGTGGGCGAAACGCGGCAAGAGCCTCGCGCGCAGCCAGTCCATAGGAAAGCATTCACAATGCTTTCCTATGGACGCTGGCGTCTTCTCACTGTGATTTTCACAGTGAGGAGCACGCAAGCGCCTATAGCGGCTGTCAAGAGACAGCCACTGGAGGCTGGATTAACCCATTTATAAACATTTATTAACCCATTTATAAAAAAGGTTAACCCCAGATGGACCTTGCACCCAGACCACTTCATTAAGCTGAAGTGGTCTGGGTGCCTATAGTGGCCCTTTAATGAAGCCGTTTGGTGTATAGATCATGCACTTGAAGTTTTACTGCTCAAGTCTCTGCCATTTAGGAGTTAAATCACTTTTGTTTCTGTCCATGCAGCCCTAGCCACACTCCTCTGTCTGTGACTGACACAGCCTGCATGAAAACAAAATGGTTTTATTTTCAAACAGATGTTATGTACTTTAGAAGTTTATATCTCATGCTCTGTAAATTAAACTTTAATTACACACAGGAGACTTCTGCAGGGTCTAGCAAGCTATTAGCAGGAAGTAAGAATTGTTACATTAAACAGAAGGTGCAAATACAGGAAGTGTGAACATTACATCTCTTTACAGGAAGTGTTTAGGAAGGCTGTGTAAGTCACATGCATTGAGGTGTGACTATGGCTGCATAAACAAAATTATTTAACTCCTTAATGGTAGAGAATTGAGCAGTGAGACTGCAGGGGCATGATCTATACATCAAAATTGCTTCATTAAGCTAAAGTTGTTTTAGTGTCTATAGTGTTCCTTTAATCAACAATTGTGAAATTACCAAGAATTTAAAGTAGCACTGTCACCTACCCCCTTAAAAAAACGAGTATTTCATAAATATATCATCTTTATGAAATACTCATTTTGACTGTGTTGGAATTTCAGTGAAATTTCAAACTAGTCAAGAGATATATTGAGACAAAGTTGGGACTACCTTGTCTCTATATATTTCCTACACCTGGAACTTCTAGACACTGGGCGGAGCTACTGACATCTATAAATGTCAGTCCATCCCAGCCATCACTGACTGCAACATTAATTTCTCCATAGACCTCAATGCTGTACTCTCGAGCGAGAGTACAGCAGTGATGTCTGCTCCTGGCACTGAAGAGCACTGACTAAAAGAAGAGAGTGAGAGTTAGGTTCAGGTTAGTAAAGTTCACCTTTACCTACCCCACCATCTGATGTCACCGTCAGGGATCTTTGCAAATTCTGCAAAGACTTTAACCCCTTAAGGACCAAACTTCTGGAATAAAAGGGAATCATGACATGTCACACATGCCATGTATCCTTAAGGGGTTAAAGTGCTGCTTTAACATGAATTTCAACTTTAGGCCACAATAGCCAGCCTGAAAGTCGGCTGTTTTCAATTTGGTTAGTTTTGCCCAAATTCTGAAACTAACTTATAACTCCTCACACTTTATATCTAGCCATGTTAATGTCTTGATCAGTATTACTAGGAGTACAGGCCACATCTATCCCAGCAGCAATCCCTGCCTATGATCTCATTCTTTCTATCTATCTATATATATATATATATATATATATATATATGGTGATGTAATTATATATAACAATACTAGGGGTGACGTCATACACAATAATGGTGATGTCAGGGAGCCCAAACGCTGTTATTATTAACCCTTTCCCTGCTGCCATAAACCCACCTGACAGGCCTGTCCATAGTGCGGTATCCCCGGGGGGAGGCCGAGCACTCTGGGTAATACCGGGGATCCCTCCGCAAAGCAGCCGCCGATCTAAACTCAAAATCCCCGCGCACAGCCCGTGCCTCGGACACCCGCTCACAGACGCACATTCGCTCGAAATCCAGCGAACGGCACTGGAACAAATTACATGAACCCGCCCGAGGGATATTGAAATAGTAACTAGCATTCCACAGATCGCCTTCGATATTATCTCTCTCCGGTATATTTATTTTTTTTGACTTACCGATCCATACTGGAATAATACTCGGAGGAGTAATGGCGAATCTGCGACCGAGGATGTCGGTGATCGATCTACACGACCGGCCAGCGACCTGGGGAATCACGTGATCTGTGAAGTAGTCACCTGATCATGTGATTGCCCTCACTGCAGGATTGCTTTCATTAGAACGAATACATTGTAATCCTAGTAATATCACCACGTGTACTGACTACAGGGGCTTGGGATTAATGGCAATAGCCAAACAATGTAAAACAACCACAGATTGCTATAGTGTCAACTCTTAACATGGACACTTGTTTTACAATCTAGGGTCGTAGAGTGACTGGTGAGTTGGGCTGCTCAGGTAACTTTGGGTAGATACAAGTTGGTATCTTTATTAAAAAAAAATGTGCAGTTTCATCTTTAGGGGAATTTGCAGTTAATCAATAAATCCCTATTTCATTTATAGATCATAATTGTTATTGCAGACACTTGTTTCAAAGATTCTACAAGGTTTAAGGATATATACAGGACATGAGCGTCATTCACTAAAATGAGAATTGTCAGTGATGGAGAATTAATTATTTTATCTATGTAATGTTTAGTGAATATTCCTCTAGACCAGGCATAGGCAACCTTCGGCACCCCAGATGTTTTGAACTACACCTCCTCGATGCTTTGTCAGCATTATGGGTATAAGAGCATTATGGGGGATGTAGTCCACAACATCTGGAGTGCTGAAGGTTTCCTATCCCTGCCCTAGACGTACAGAGCTATAAATATATGCATTAACCTATAGATGTATTGCATACTAAAACTTTGATTTAATAACCTATATTATCCGGTATCTATAAATACATGGACAGGTCTTCCTCAATGGTTTGGTGGAAAGGGGGGCGGGGGAATAGAGGTGAAGCGCTAATTAAAGGCCCACAGGTGTAATTAGTACATCTGAAGATACCTTGCCTAACTTACCTGCAGTACCAGAGATAAGGGGACTTGTCATAGAGGTAAATAAAGAGTTAAAAAGCCTTTTTTGTCTTAGTTAAGTGTTTCCACATCTGCAAGGGTTAAAAGCAAGAATTATATCCCCTGTCTGTTATCTTGCAAGCACAACCTCCCTTTTCTATATCTCACAGGTCAAGATAACATTCACATAGTTTAGAGAAGATGTGCTAGACATGTGCAGTAGATTTCCTGTAATAAGTAATGTTATATGAATAATTATACTTTTTTGCACTGAACGTCTATGATTAATTGATTGTGTCTTCTGTTGGCTACACCCCTATGAAACTGTATTTGTTTCATATATACGCTGTACCCGCATTAAATAAGCCACAATTTTTCTGGAACTTCGGAATCAGGCACCTCTCTAATTAGGCGAGTTAGGCGGCCGCTTAAATTGCCATAGGGCAGACTAACATGTCGGGTTCTCAGTCTATGACAGAGGACCTGGCACAGGAGAGGACCCAGCGGCTTGCCTATAAAGCCGCCGGATGCGAGGCCCCTCCAGTCAGTCTCCCCTGACGGAGAGCCAGCCTCCAGTCTGCAGCTCCGCCAGGAGTAAGCTGCAGACTGAGGTGTCTTGCGATCTCCAGCCTGTCAGAGCATCAGTGGCGTACTAAGGGGGGGGCGGTCCGCCCCGGGTGCCAGCCGGGTGGGGGGTGCCATGGCCAGCCCCCCCGCCCCCCCATGCTGCAGCCGCCCGAGCGCTCTGTAAAGAGCCTCAGGCGGCTGCAGCTTTGCCCGGGCGGTGCTTCCATGAGGGCGGACCGCACCGCCCGGGCGCAGCCTGAGGAGAGGGGCTGACAGGAGGGCAGCG